TTTTGGCTGCTTCATTGAATCATCGTGGTAATTACTTTATTTCACTTCACGTATTAACTCTATAATATAATTGCTCACAATGGCCTCCTTATTAGACGAATGGATCCGGCATGGTTTCTATAAATTAGGAGATAATTATATTATGGGTAGTGATGGTAAGCAATTCTTCATTGATATTCTCAATCCATGTTATTTAATCTTATTTTTTGTAGCTTGTGGTACAGTTGAAGAAGTGAAAGATGAAAAGTATGATAATTTTGTCGGAAAACAAGTCATTATTTATCCTTATTTGGAATGGGAAAACGATGCGCGTTCTTCACGTCATGTCCTCAAAATACTGGGAGGCCCAGTTGATGGAACTTTCTGCGAAAGAATTGTTGTTCCGGCCAAAAATCTTATGGAGAAGCCTGATCATTTGACACCTGAACAAGCTGCCACGTTACCTATTGCTGGATTGGTAAGATATACGTAATAAGTAAAAAAATTTTAGTTGTGATTCTTTTACTCAATTTGATTTTTTTATAAAGACATCATATCAAGCACTCATAGTTCGTGGTGGACTTAAGGTTGGTGAAACTGTTCTAATCACAGGTAGTGGTGGAGGTTGTGGTCTATTCTTGATTCAATTTGCCAAGGCATTTGGTGCCAAGGTATTTTTCACGACAGGTCAAAAATATAAGCTTAACTTTTTAGAAAACAAGTTTAATATCAAGGGAGTACTTTATACAGAAGTGAATTGGTCTGATAAGTTGAAACAAATTGTATCTGAGGAGCATGGTGGATTTTTTGATATGATTATTGATTCGTCTGGCGGCAGATTTGTCTCTACTTATCTGGACTTGCTAAAGTCCTCAGGTCGATACGTCTTTTTTGGCCAGGTAAAGTACTGATTTATTTATAAATAGATCGCATTCAATTAATTTATACTTGCGATCTAAATTACAACACAGACACTTGGACCACCCACAGCCGAATTATTACAAAAATGGAGCACAATTTATTTGAAAAGTCTTACTATTATTGGTTCAGATCTTGGCAACTTTACTGAATTTAAATCTATGATAAATTTTATTATTGATTACAAAATTGTTCCATTAATTGATTCTGTTGTGCCATTCGACCGAATAATGGAACAATTCACTAAAATGGAAAGGCGAGAACAAATTGGCAAGTTAGTTGTTTTTTTTGGTTAAGTAATAGTTAATTTGCCAATATCTTGTATTTTAAGTATTACTTGCAAAGTCTACTGTTTTGAACTAAATAATGTAATACTGTATAGTACATTAAAATTTACCAAAACTATACATTTTAAAATAGTAATTACAGTGGATTTTTAAAGGAATTATACGCATCCCATCTCGTGATAAATCGCATGATTGCATATGCTGTACTGTTAAATATTTTCATCCCTTTTTTTTTGCATCGAATTTATATACAATTAGGGTAGTTATGACGCGAAATAACGTCGGGCGTTATTTTAAAAATCATGTTCTTTCAAAAATAGTATAGGTGTCTTGAATTAGCCCATGAGCGTTATCGTACAAAAAATGCGCGATTTTAATTTGCATTATACATAATTTTGGCCGGAATTAATTTTTTAATTTTTTAATTCCAATGGTAAAATTAACCCGGAACATTTTTCATTTAATAAAAATTTGAGTAATTTTGGCCTAAATTTTGATCGTCTCCGTTGGCCAATCAAAATTGTGAATTTCCGCGCATTTTTTGTTCGGCACCATGTTACGAATTAACGAGTATCCCGAAATAACCAGTTTGCGATAACGCTAGCCGGATAGATGTATTAGAGTAAAAAAATATTTAAAGTGAGTTATTCAAGCTTACTATTTATTGATGTTGTGACATTTATTAGTCTAAGTATTATTTAAAAATAAGCTATGTATATTCATATGAATATTTACTATTTCATTTTATATGTGTATACTCGTCAATCATCCAGGCTCACTCTTATTTCGAAATAACGCACACGAGCGTACTGAAATAACGTCCAGGTCAATTAATAACGCGCTATTGCGTGCTTGTACGATATGTATGTACCTGACAGTGTAGTCTATTATTCATTAACGCCATAAAAAATTGCTCTTATTTCTTCCACTATCATTGTGCTTAATACGAAAATCCTATATTTTTATAGGTATACTCGAAGGCTTTTTAAAGTTTGTCTTCTATGATCATTTTTTCTAATTCGTTATAGTTTTGTTACACGGGAAATAAAACATTTTATAGCGATAAAGGTCATTTATAAATGTATGTGAAAAACGTAATTAATTAAACATGAGAGATAGGAACTATTAACATAATTTTGTCATGAAAGTAAAAAAAAAAGAATGATTCATAGGAAATAAAAAAAAATGAGTGATTCATGGGATTTTTTTTTTTTTTTTTTTAGAGTTTTTCACGTGAATTTTGTGATATTATAGAATTTATTAAAATTTAATTGGATTAAATTCTATAATATCACAAAATTCAACCTCTAATTCGGCACTTATGCCGAATAACTATTAATTAGAGTAAAAGTGAAATCTAACTACGTGAATTTAAGTACAGAAGTATATAATTTCATAATAATCTGTTTTTAGAATAGTCCTTTTCCCGAGTTTACTAATTTTCCTCACCACTTCTACTACTTCTGATTGGTTCTACTAATTATTCACATATCGGAGTATCGATACTCCGATGACGCAGCCAGGGCGGCCCCCCCTAAGTGCGGGTCACGGGTTATCGCCGCCACATTCAAATGTCATATGATATAGATTTC